TTATGAAGCAGGTTAAGCCCATTTTTTGAAGGGTAAGGGAGTACGACGGGGTTCGTGCACAGCGTTTAGGTAGATCCAATCTTCACCTTCCTTCAAATACTCTCGTGTTTTTGGACATTAGAGCGGCCTTCCGCTCTATGGATCGTCCCGCACTGTGGAACTGTTTGCGGAGATACGGAGTACCTCAAAAGTATGCTCTACTTTTAAAAACACTACCACCGGACCTCTACCAAGTTTAGGGCCCTTGGTGAACTTTCACTCACTCCACTTTCAAATTTCGTTTCTTCTCCTATTCTTCATCCAAATGGGCAGCCAAAAGACAGCAACCAAAACTGGCGCACGTTTATGCATGGTTAATGGTTGTACAAACTGAAAACTGAAAAACCCTCATGAGGCGTGAAGAAATGCGCAGAGCGATTAGGTAGAATTGGTGTGTCCCGTACTCCAGGTTGCTAGTCTGCTAATCTGAATTCGATGTGCTGGCAAGTTTACTCGTGATAGACTCCCGAACACACGGCGGCTTACCTCCACGTTACTAACCCGTTCGCTCCATCCAACGTGATCTAAACTGCGTAAACGCCGATAATCGAAAACTTCTAGTAGATGGATCTTTTCTACTCGCAAATTCAAGGTCCCACAATCGTAAAGCAGAACTGAACGAACGCCAGCGCAGTATGCACGACCTTTCAACGTTAGGGGAAACGTTGCGTCTACGCCAAAGATGTTTCAGTCCTGCATATGCTGCTCGAGCCTTGAAAATGCGAATGGATATCTCCTTTGCTGCGCTTCCTTCATTGGTCAAGCAACTACCTAAGTAGGAAAAGTAATCCACCGTAACTAATTCCTGACCATTTAGTTTCATAGTGGAAGTAGGCGAAACCCAGTCTTGCAGCATCACTGCACTTTGAAGGTGCAAAGCGCATACCGAATGTGGCAACTGCACTTGTTAGTCTATCAAGTGTGATTTGTGCATCCTCCATGCATTCGAATAAACAGACGATGTCATCGGCGTACTCTAAATTGCACAGCTTTTCTCCACCTGTCCATTCAATACCTGCGTTTTAGAGACCACTTAGTGCGTTTTCCAGTATTTTGTCTACGACAAAATTGAACAGGAACGGTAAGAGAGAGCATCCTTGAGCGCCGCTGCTGGTGACGAATGGCCCACTTAGTTCATCATATACCCTTACACAAACAGGTATACGAGTACAGTGACCTCAGTAAGTTAACGTTCTTCTGGGGCATTCCTTTTCGAAGAAGAGAGCCCATCAGAGCTTCGCGATCAATTAAGTCGAATGCTTCTTTCAGTTCAAGGAAAACTGCTAGCGTTGGTCGGCGGTGGGCGTGACGCAGCTCAAGGCCTGGCCTAACGTAAAAATTTGATCAATACATCCACGACCAGCCCGGAATCCGGCTCGTTGTTCACGGATGTTGATCTCTCTCACAGGAGTGAGACGTCGAAGTATGATCGAGGCTAGCACTTTAATGACGATCGGGATCAAACTTATCCCGCGGTGGTTTTCGCAATCGTTGCGAAATCCTTTCTTGAAAATTGGAATGATCAGTGATTCGTCCCACGATGCACGAATGAGCTCTTGCGTCCAAATGTTGCGCAGTAAGGTAGTAATACAGCTTACGAGGCTATCACCGCTCATTTTGGAAAGACAGAGATGAAGCTTATCGGGTCCTGCTGACTTCCTCGCTTCAGAGCCTGAATGCAAGACCGAACTTCTGTTTCCGTTGGACGAACGCAAGACACTGCTCAAGGAGCTTCAGTTGCGGATGAGGCAACCTGTTTAACGACAGGCCAGCTGAAATGTTCGCTGAAGTATTCTGCCCAGCAATCAAGTTGTTGATCCCTATTGTGAATATTTTGTCCCATCTAATCATTGTTTCACTAACTGTAGTTCACCGACTTCCCGCATTGCGTAAAGGTCGGAACAGTCTTTGACCATTCCCTGGTGTAGCTGCTACTTCCATTTCACTAGCTATTGTTGCCCACCAGTTCTCACGGTCCTTCTTGAGGCTATTTGTTAGTCAATGTTGTAGATGCCACCTAACTCTGTTCTGATCCTGGCAGGTCAGGACTTGTCGTTTTTTCTCCATCAGGGCTACTGACTTCTGAGATATCCAATGCCGCCAGCGGGCTTAAAGCTCAGACCCACAGGCAACATTCGCTGCGAAATGCATTGCTCGCCTAATCTGATCCCACTGCTCATCTACATCATCAGGCTGAGGCGCGCTTAGTTCACGCACTAGCTCTGATTCAAAGCGCACACGAACTTCTGGGACAGATAGTCGATGATGAGCTATACGAGTTTGCTGGTTTTGTCACCGACCAGTGAGGCGGAGAGTGAACTGCATCAAAATTAATGCGGGGTCGGGCTCAACGCAGGTGGTCCAATAGGACCTGCAATTTTGCACTGAGCCACGCCAATGGTAGCTTACCGCTATGTGGTCGATTTGGGTTAGCGTAAAAGTTGAACTGGAGCGCCACGTTACCGTCCATCGAGAGCTGTGTCGGAAGTTGGTGCTTGATAGGAACAGATGATGATCTGCACAGAGCTGAAGAAGTCTATCGTCGTTATCTATTCGTTGGCTAGGCAGAGCACAGCTACCTCCTAGGTAGGCTCCTGATGCACCCAGTTTTCCAACCTGCGCGTTGAAGTCACCTGCAAGTACAACTATGTCGCAGCTTCGACTCATCAGAATGGGATCGGTGAGTTCATCATAGAAACCGTCCATTTGTGTATTAGAACTGCAATTGGTCGGTACATATGCTGATACGATGAACAAACACCTTTTAGTGTTGCTTCCCTTCCGGACACTGATTGAACCCTGGAGACGCACTGCACGTAAACGACTGTTGACAGAGATCCAGTCGATAAGAGAGGACTCCGCCCTGTTACTGAGTACAATACCTACCCCACGCTGGCCTACTGAACGAGGTCCATCGTTGCCTGATATACGAAGAACGTATCTCGAAGACAAATCTGGCGCGCTCAAGTAGAATCCTGGATTCGAGTCTCCGACACGCAGCAAATATCGATCCCTAAGGATTCTAACCAACTGAGCCTATTGAGGTGGATTCGATGCGATAGGGAGTTCTTGTTCAATGTGTTCCTGAACACCCGACGACCTACATCTAGGTTACTAACCCGCTTACTTCGTCCCACTTGGGCCAGACTACGCAAGCATAGATTGTCGAAAACCACTGGGCGACGGATGTCTTCTACTCGCGAATTCAAGGTCTCACAACCGTACAGCAGAACTGATCGTACAGTGGCGCAGTATACACGGCTTTTCAACTTCAGTGAGATGTTACGTCGCCACCACAGGTGTTTTAGTCTTGCGTACGCTGCTCGAGCCTTGTAAATGCGGGTGGTTATCTCCTTCGATGCGCTACCATTGTCCGTCATGCAGCTGCCTAAGTAAGGGAAGCAATCAAATTCAGCTAATTCCTGAACATCTAGTTTCAGAAGAGAAGTTGGCGACACCCAGTCTTGCAGCATTACTTTGCACTTTGAAGATGCAAAGCACATACCGAACGGAACTAGAGCGGTAGTGGCCAAGTGGTTAGGTCACCAACTAGTGACCTGGGTGTCCCGGGCTCAAACCGCTCCACCGCCGCCCGTCTTCCCTATATCTGTATTTTCCCCAGGCAGCCTTTGTATGGCCGCAGCTCCCCTTCCTGAAAGTTGACTGTACATTTGTATATTCAATAAATAGTAAAAGGAAGTAAAAAGACATCACA